CCCACCAATAGCCAAATTATCCTACTGGATTATCACATCCCTCTACAGTGTTTCTACCTCATTGGTTACTACTTCATCCATTACCACCTCATAAGTAATCATTACTAATCTCTAAAGCATCAATAAATCTGTCCCAAGTCTGATCTGTGTAAACCGTATCATCACTTAGGTCGTACATCTGCCCAAGTTCTGTTCAAGAGTTTCTATTCTAATCAAGTTTGACATAACTCATACTTTACATAAGTCACATTAAATGTATGGTCCCAACTGAAAATAATAATAATAATCCTTGCATTTGATATAGCGCCTTATTACATCTTCGAGACGACTCAAAGCGCTTCACAGGATACACTGTAAAGTGAATTGACCGTAAATTTGTGGCTGATACGATTTATGTGAGGTTTACTGTAGGTTTACTGTATTCTTATAGGAGATTTTGATAGTTTAAGCAATGTTTGAAATTGTATTGGCAAACAGATACTCACAGCTGCACACTAAATGGACTGACTGAATGTTGTATCTTGTGTTATAACGAACTCTCCAGGCCCTGGATTACTTGGCTATTGGTGTTCATGAACTGGCTGCAATCAGTGAGAGGAGAATCGAGAGGCTGTGTAACCCTTCTCTCAGTGGCCTGCCGGCCTTCCTGGTCACTGACGGGGGTCTGAACTGTGGCTTCATGGTGATTCACTGCACAGCAGCGGCTTTGGGTACAGATATCACAGTTATAAATGTCTTAATAAAATAAATCCTCCCATTTATCTACAATTCCCTTCCTGCCCTGGCACCTCCCAATCTCTTCCACCTGCTTACTCCCCAACACAAGATATAACAAAGTAAGATGTCATCTTTTCTGTTAAATATATTAAAATAAATAATTCTGCTGTGTAATCATGTTATTTCCAATCTACAACATAATGTTTATATATATGTGTTATATACACACTTACCACACTGGCTGCCAATATTGTGTTGCTGATGTAGTTAGACAACGGAAGTTAAATCACATGGAACAGGTGATTGTGAAATAATCTGTTGATAACTGATGTTGCTGCAGTGTCTGAGAACAAGGTTCTGTGCCACCCGTCATCAGTTGACTCCCTGTCCACCAGTGCAGCCACTGAGGATCATGTCTCTATGGGGGGCTGGGCTGCCAGGAAAGCCTTGAGGGTCATAGAGCACGTGGAGCAAGGTAACCCTGACTAAGAGAACAAACAATACACACACATATATATAAAATAATCCTCGCATTTGATTGTTGCATTTCATGATGTATTGTACAGTGTATCCTGTGAAGCGCTTTGAGACGTCTCCAAGACATGATAAGGCACTGTATCAGATACAAGGATTATTATTATTATTACAGTAAAATTGGTAACAGGGAAATATTTCTTTAATAATAATAATCCTTGCATTTGATGTAGCACCTTATAAGGATAGCAATTAACTGCTACTAATAATATTCCTTAACTTCTCATCTGAAGGGCAGATAAACACAATGATACTGGATTAATTCCTTTTTCCAAAAGCTAGAGGCATTACACCAGCTGCCTGCAACGCAGAGGTCGCTGTGTGGCTGTGACCTGCATCGCAAAGCGCTTCACAGAATATATTGTAAATTACTATTAAATTAATTTATTATTAAATTAATTCATTATTAAATTAATTCATTATTAAATTGTTATGAATGTTATTATTAAAGGTATTATTATTACTACTAAAGTAATTTGTATTAGTATTAAATTATTATTATTAAACTAGTATTATCAGAAAGCAATGCGCAATTTAAAGCTATATTTATATGAACGCAACTTGAACTAAAAAAGGAATTTGTTGGGTCATTATGTTATTTGTGTTAAACTAACAAACAGCAGATTGATGTGAGGACTATGTTGTTGTTTCAGTGCTCGCTATAGAGCTTCTGGCAGCTTGTCAGGCTCTGGAGTTCCTGCGCCCACTTCATACCACAGCCCCCCTGGAAACCGTCTATCAACTAGTGCGCTCAGTGGTCAAGTAAGTCATAGCATCAGTACCTTCGTCTCAGAGGAAAATACTCAATAATAAATTGCTTGAAGGTTAAAAACAACTTTCACCTTCAGTTACTGTGATATGTAGAGTCCTGTAGCTCAGGTTAGAGCACTCGCCTCGCAAGCGAGAGAGAGAGGACCTGGGTTTGATTCCCAGGCAAAATCTTAGGCAAGTTTCCTTCCTCCACACACACGCCTCTGTTTACCAGCAGTAAATAAGAATTCGGTTGTTAGTTGATTGGAGGATGGCTTTTCTGGGGATAATAATCCTTTCAAAAAAAAATTGGTCGTTCAATCCACGAGTGTATGTGGGACACTGCTGTGCACAATTCGCTGCCGCGTTTCACCCACAAAATACACAGTCAATTCACTTTACGGTATATTCTGTGAAGCGCTTTGAGACATCTGACCGACATGATAAGATGCTGTATCAAATGCTAGAATTATTTTATTATATTCCCCTTAACCTTCGCACCTTCTGCTCTAAGTGCTCTAGGACGCTATATAAATCCAAGTTCTTGTTGTTGTTGTCATTGTCCAGAGCCCTGGATAAAGATCGTTCCATGGCCCCAGACATTGAAACTGCTCAGAGGCTGCTGACTGAAGAAAAGGCAAGTTACTGCTGTATTGTACATTTCTGGGAAGGTTTCACAGATACAGTAAAACTGGCATAAATCTCATCTGTATAAGTCATACATTGCCCACGTCTCATTCAAGTGTTTATACTCTACGCAAGTTTGACTAAACTCATTCATTGCATAAGTCATATTAAATGTGAGGTTTACTGATGTGAGGTTTACTGAACCTGATTATCACTGCTTAACAACAATTTCTTGTTAAGCAGTGATAATCAGGTTCAGTAATCCTGTAGCTCAGTGGTTAGAGCACTCGCCTCGCAAACGAGAGGACCTGGGATCAATTCCCGAGCAGGACAAAACCTTAGGCAAGTTTCCTCACTCCACACGCCTCTGTTTACCAGCAGTAAGTAGGAATCCAGTTGTTAGTCGATTGGCGGATCACTTTTCTCGGAGTAATATTTTGTTAAAAACTAATAATAACAAAAATAATAATAATAATTTGGTCACTTAATCCACGACTGTTTGTGGGACGCTGCTGTGCACAATTGGCTGCCGTGTTTTGCCCACAAGCACACAGTCAATTCACTTTACAGGGTATCCTGTGAAGTGCTTTGAGACTCTCAAAGACTTGATAAGGCGCTATATCAAATGCAAGGATTATTATTATTATAATTTTGTAATGATTTGTTTTAAACAGGTTTGGCAAGCAGTGCAGCCATATATGGAACATTACAGGAATGTTAAGACATCAGAATAAGCATTTGCTCCAACAGATGGATCTTTGAAGAATTCTCTGTGATCATCAGATAAATAACTGCTTAAGAAATGGCCTCAGTGTATAAGGACGGTTAAAGATCTCTTTTGGAGAAACACAAAGATTATTTTAACTTGATGTATTACTGTCTACTGTAAATGGAAAACAATACTATTTCGTGATTCTAGGGATGTGTTTGTATTTGTTTTGTGGTCATTGGAATATATATAAAACTCAATTCAGTCATCATGACAATCTACCATTTTTTTCCATAAACTCTCCATTATATAAACCTGCTTCTCTGCTTGTCAGAATGTTTCGACCTTTCGAACTTTCAAACTTTTTGAACTTTTTGCATTTGATATAGCGCTTTTCAAGTCTTCTGGACATCACAAAGCGCTTCACAGAATATGCTGTAATATACTGATATTTCTATACTAGTAACTCTCAGCTTGACAGAGGGACCTTATAACACCATTTCCAATTACTAGACAATAAGTTGTGGAGTCCTGTAGTGTAGTGGATAGTGTACTCGCCTTGCAAGCGAGAAGACCTGCTTTTTTTTTGTTGGAGGGCTTAGTATCCCCGGAACGTGATCTGCGAATTGAGTAACAATCGGGTTCCTACTTACTGCTGGTAATCAGGCATGTGGAGTAAGGAAACTTGCCTAAGGTTCTGTCCTGCCCGGTAATCTAACCCAGGTCCTTTCGCTTGCGAGGTGAATGCTCTAACCAATACGTTATGTGACTTTAAGGTTTGCTATTGATGCAGAGCAATAGTATATAAATCAGAGCAGTAAATTATATTACAGTCAAATAGTTCTTGAGTGAGTTATCTTTCTAACACACTGCAGGTAGAAGCCAACATCAGATTACTTCTTATCCCCTGAGCCAGCTCTCAGTTAGCAATTAACTACTATTACTAATAATCCTTAATGTCTCATCAAGGACAGATAAATGCAATGCTATTGGATTCATTCCTCCTTCCAAAGGCAAGAGGCATTACACCAGCTGCCTACAACACAGAGGTCGCTGTGTGGCAGTGACCTACGTTCGATTACAATACCATGTGCCGGCTGTTGACTCATAACTGGATTATACAATAAACGACAGTCATGACAAAGTGACCCCCAGGACACCCGAGTCAATGAGGCTGTGAACTGCAGCACAGAATGATACCTGGTGGGGGGGGGGGGGTTAGGGACGGGTGGTTGGGGGGTGGCCACTCATTCGCTTCCAGGCAAATCTTTTTTTATAGAAAAGATGCAATCGACTACCAACCGGGTTCCTACTTACTGCTAAATAAACAGAGGTGTGTGGAGGAAGGAAACTTGTCTAAGGTTGTGTCCCGACCGGGAATCAAACCCGGGTCCTCTGGCTCGCCAGGCGAGAGCTCCACGACAATGGCAGGAAGGAGACGGTTTGCAATTACGTTGTGTTGTGCAGCAAAGTTGTATTTTGACCCAACAAATTTTGACCACAACACTTGAGTCTCGGAGGAGGAGCCTGTGGAGGGGGAGGGGCTTTACTCAGGCCTGGGGGAGGGGTTTGGGAAGGGGGAGGGAACACACGGCAACTTGTGATGTGATTGGAGGAGGTCTGGACATCCCCACTTCTCTATCAATCCCTCAGGACTGTGGTTGAGGAGTTGGTGAGGACAGACATCTCAGTGCTCCTCACACCCAGCACCACAGCTCCCAGCGGCCATGCCTCGCTACACCGTGCACGTGAGGAGCGAGTGGCTGACGGTGCCCTGCAAGGACACGTGTAGCACCGTGTTGTGGTTGGGCCGAGAGGCCTTGAGACGCTACGTGAAGAACAAGCCAGACAATGGCGGGTTGGACTGTGTGGCTGACGTGACGTTCCTGATGAGACGCTGTCATGGACAGGGATTGTTAGATCCCGATGATGCCATTGAGGACGTTCTGGAAGACAATGATTTTGTGGAAGTTGGTAGGTTTGTGCTTAACAGGATTCACAGAATGAACGTTACAACAACTACAAAATGACGTTTATAGAGCGCCATTCACGCCAGGAGGACATCCCAAAGCGCTGGACAGTCAGGTGTCGGGGCCCGAGCATGGGGGAGGGGTGGGGGAGGGGTGGGGGGGGGGGGGAAGGCAGAGAAGTGGGAGGGAGACCAAAGGCACGGTCGAAGAAAAGGGTCTTGAGACCGGCCTTGAAGGAGGCGAGGGAGGAAGCGAGGCCAAGGGACCATGGGATGGAGTTCCAGAGTGTGGGGGCAGAGGCTGAAAGCCCGGCCACCGATGGTAGCGCGGGTCGGGCGGGAGACATGGAGCAGTCAGAGGCCACTGAACGGAGGGAGTGGGCAGGTTGGTAGGGAGGCATTTACTGTTTTTACCCAGGGAGTTGTTCCAGTCTGGAATGCACAGCCTGAAAGGGTGGAAACACATTCAATAACAACTCTCAAAAGGGAATTGGAGAGGAACTTAAAAAGGAATGTGCGGGGCTATGGGGTAACATGGGGCAATGGGACTAGTTGGAGTAAGAGTGGAGGAGTGGGGACTAGTTGGGGTAAGAGTGGGGGGAGTGGGGACTAGTTGGGGTAAGAGTGGGGGAGTGGGGCTAGTTGGGGTAAGAGTGGGGGAGTGGGGCTAGTTGGGGTAAGAGTGGGGGAGTGGGGCTAGTTGATGGCTCTTTCAGAGCGACACAGGCTTGAAGGGCTGAATGGCCTCCTTCTGTGCTGTAAGATTCTATGATCCTATGATTTGACGATATATCACCCACTGCTTTACATTGAGCTCTGATCGCTGATGGATGTTCATTAACTAATCACAGTATTTATTTTTGAATTGAGTTATTGAGGGGGACGTTATGCCTCCAGACTTCATTCCATCTCAGCCGGAGAGAGTCCATCTGTATCCTTTCACAGCTTTATTCCCCGAGTAAAATAATATTTGGAAAGTAAATGGAGATGGAAAATCAATAGCGTGATTGCCTTAACTAATCGATCTCTCAGATACCACAAATATCGGGAGCCGGAGGAGGTAAATAATCCTTGTGTTTGATACACTGACACCTTTCACATCGGGAACATGTCACAAGGTGCTTCTCAGGATTTAATGCAAAGTTTCCTTACTCCACGCGCCTCTGTTTACCAGCACTAATTAGGAACCCGCTTGTTAGTCGATTGGCGGAACACTTTTCCAGGGGTAATAATCCCTTCCCAAAAATAAATGAAAATAATAATAATTATTTGGTCACTCAATCCACGGTTGTGTGTGGGACACTGCTGTGCGCAATTGGCTGCCGCGTTTCACCCACAAAATACACAGTCACTACACTTTACAATATATCCTGTGAAGCGCTTTGAGACATCTCAACGATGTGATAAGGCGCTGTATCAAATGCCAGGATTATTATTGCTCAGTAACTCAACATACAACTGTTTTGGAATATTTCTCTAATTATAATGTGTCGAATGTCAAGTAAGTTGTCTCCGCTCGGCTGGCTCTGGCCTCCTTCTTGTCCCTCGTCCTCTCCGCTTCACCGTCGGTACCTGTGCTTTCAGCCACTACGACCTGAAGCTTTGTAACTCTCTGCCACGAGTCCTCCATCTTGTCCCCTCCTTCCCTGCTTTTAGATCACGACTAAAGACCTTCCGCTTCGACCGTGCTTACAGTCATCTCCTCCCTCCTCCCTCCCTCCCCCCAGCCTGACACTGTTAAGCGCTCCGAGATGCTACCCCCACCCCCATGAAGGACGCTGTGTAAATGCAAGTTGATGTTGTAAAACAATCTGAAGGAAAAACAATCTCTCAGAATATTTATTTAGACGGAAACAATCTCACCACAGAAGACCTGGTTTCTTTGGGAAGAGGACTTTACAAGATCAAGGTTCGAATCTTACTACTGAAGTCAATATGTTTAGAAATTCTTTGTGTAGTGCAATTAAACATTAAACGCGTGGATTCCTGTAGCTCAGTGGTTAGCGCACTCACCTTGCAAAGGGCACGAGAGGACCCGGGTTTAATGCCCGGGCAGGACAAAACCTTACGCAAGTTTCCTTACTCCACGCGCCTCTGCTTACCAGCAGTAAGTAGGAACCAGTTGTTAGTCGATCAGTGAATCGCTTTCCAGAGGTAATAATTCCTCCAAAAAAAATGGTCATTCAATCCACGGCTGTTTGTGGGACGCTGCAGTGTGTAATTGGCTGCTGGGTTTCACCAACAAAATACACAGCCACTTCACTCTACAGTATATCCTGTGAATCGCTTTGAGACGTCTCAAAGACGTGATAAGGCGCTGTATCAAATGCCAGGATTATTATTATTATGTGTTTGAATGACAATGTTATGGAATGTGTCTCTAGTTGACTGAAGAATCAGAGGAGAGGATCAGACAGTCGAGACTGCTTCTGGAAAATATTGTGAAAGAAAATAAAGGTATTTCAAGGGAAAGAAATATCACTGGGAATCTGAATGATATCAGCAACATCTGTGAGATGAATACAATTAAACTAAAGGCCTCTAAAAATAAGTAATAGATGAAGGGTAATAATCCCTTCAAAACAAATAAATAGATAAATAATAAGTAAATATATAAATAATCTGATCACTCAATCCACGACTGTTTGTGGGACACTGCTGTGCAGAATTGGATGCCACGTTTCGCCCCAAATTCACTTTACAGTATATTCTGTGAAGCGCTTTGAGACGTCTTGAAGACATGGTAAGGCGCTGTATCAAATGCAAAGATTATTATTATAAGTAACATTGAAATGTTCATTTTGTTTTCCCTTTCAGTTGTTTATGGAATAACTACTGGCTTTGGTAAATTTGCTCGAACTGTGATCCCACACAATAAGCTCAAGTAAGTCATGTTACTCGTTGGCCTAATAACTTTGGACATTGTTACAGTAGTTTTATCATTTATAATGTCCAGGCTTCTAGGAAGCTTTAACTCGTACCATTTTGGCAACTTTAAGCTTATTTGAATATACAGATTCTTTCTGGAAATTGTCTTTAAATGTGGCTCACACCTATGGTTGTTAGGTCACAGTATCCGTTGATTAACTCATTGCAAAGCAGCATTTAAGTCCGTGATCAGAATTGATCCAAATCAAAACCTTACGCCTTATGGCTTTTTAATGGAAAAGATGAACAATATTTTTTTTAGGAATGTAAACCTTTTAGGAATGTGGAGTCCTGCAGCTCAGTGGTTAGAGCACTCGCCTCTCAAGCGAGAGGACCCGGGTTCGATTCCCAGTTGGGGCGAAACGTGGGGCGAGCTTCCTTACTCCACACGCCTGTTTCCCCAGCAGAGAGTAGGAATACGGTTGTTAGTCGATTGGTGGATCACTTTTCAGGGATTAATAATCCCTTGAAAAAAATTGAGTCACTCAATCTACGACCGTTTGCGGAACACTGGCGTGGGCCATTGGCTGCCACATTTTGTCCACAAAATATACAGTCAATTTACTTTACAGTATATTTTGTCAAACGCTTTGCGACATCTTGATGACATGCAAGGATTATTATTAATATTTTCCTTGTTCCTCAGGGAACTCCAGGAAAACCTTGTGCGTTCCCATTCAGCTGGTAAGGACCTCTTTATTGCCATGTTTTGTGACATGTTAAAATTGTGCTGGATTATTTTGAATTCTGATTCTCTTTCACTGAAACCTTTGCTGCTGCACGTTGCCCAGGTGTTGGGAAGCCCTTGACTCCAGATAGATCTCGGATGCTCCTTGCTTTGAGGATCAATGTTCTCGCTAAGGGATACAGTGGGATTTCTTTGGAAACCCTCCAGCAAATGATCCAGGCTTTTAATGGTGAGAAAAACAATCTCTCTCAGATTTGCTAAAGTGACTTCGCATCTTTTCAGTGTGAAATTGACACCATAGAATGGATAATAAACCCTTCAAAACAAAAATAAATTTTAAAAATTATAATTTGGTCACTCAATCCACAGCTGTTTGTGGGACGCTGCTGTGTGCAATTGGCTGCCGTGTTTCACCCACAAAATATATAGTCACTAAAACTTTACAGTATATTCTGTGAATCGCTTTGAGACGTCTCGAACACGTGATCAGGTGCAATATCAAATACCAGGATTATTATATTCTCTCTTTCTCCTGTAGCTTCCTGTCTCTCATACGTCCCAGAGAAGGGAACAGTTGGGGCCAGTGGAGATCTGGCTCCCCTTTCTCACCTCGCCCTGGGGCTGATGGGTGAAGGCAAAATGTGGTCACCAAAAAGTGGATGGGCAGACGCCAAATATGTGAGTTATTCATTCTGTTCCGTGAAATACTAAGGCTTCAATGGGGGTCAAGAATCATCCCACTCAGCTCCTGGTAACCCTGCAAATCCTACGCCCCGAAACTCGGGAACTCTCTCCCTCTATCCCCACACCTTACCCCCTCCTTCCCGATCTTCAGGTCATGCCTGAAGACCTTCCTCTTCCACCGTGGCTATGGTCACCTCCCCCTCCCCCCGGCTCGGTGTCGTGCTCTGCCACTGTCAAGTGCTCTGGGACGCTCCCTGTGTGAGGGGGCTGTGTAAATGTGAGTTGTTATTGTTGTTGCTGCTGCTGTTGTGAACAGGTTGGATTCAATGGATCCTTTACAACATTTTGCACCAATAACAAAACTTTCTCTTTCAGGTTTTGCAAGCACATGGCCTGAAGCCCATTACACTGAAGCCTAAGGAGGTAATTCAGGGGTTTGATTTTATTGTTTCTTTCACTGATGTGCGATTGTTTCAATCAGCAACACTGTCCTGTGCGGCAGATATGGCACTTGATCTTCAATTTAGAATGGCATGGTTGTACGTTATTGTTCTTTATTTGTTCATCATACAGGGACTGGCTCTCATTAATGGGACACAGATGATCACGTCGCTGGGAGCTGAGGCTGTGGAGAGAGCGACTGCTATAGCCAGACAGGCTGACATTATAGCAGCTCTTACACTGGAGGTTCTGAAAGGCACCACAAGAGCCTTTGACAGTGGTGAGTGATTAGTTAGTGTTATACCCAATGGGCATTCTAGCTCAGTGTCCTGTGGCTTAATGGTTAGAGCCCTCGCCTCGCAAGCGAGAGGACCTGGATTCAATTTCTGGGCAGGGCGAAACGTTGGGCAAGTTTCCTTACTCCACACACCTCTGTTTATTTAGCAATAAGTAGGAACTCAGTTGTTAGTCGATTGGCCGATCGCTTTTTCGGGAGTAATAATCCCTTCAAAAAAATAAAACATTTGATCACTCAATTCACGACTGTTTGTGGGACACTGCTGTGTGCAATTGGCTGCTGTGTTTCACCCACAAAATATACAGTCAGTATATTCAGTATATTCTGTGAAGTGCTTTGAGACGTCTCAAAGACGTGATAAGGTGCTATATCAAATGTAAGGATTATTATCATTATTACAAGTCTTGCTACTTTACGGAATAATAAATTGCTGATATCATAACCGCAAAGGCTTATCTTATCTTATAAGCCTTTGTGGTTATAAGATATATATTATAGAATGTATATGATTATATCACATTTCGGGAAACAAATTCATCACAACATATGTCCTTTAGGTAAATGCGACATAAATCTCTGAGTGCTTATTGCAGCTGGATTTACAGTGTGCTGTTACCCATGTGTTTAGACATTCATGAATTACGTCCTCACCCTGGCCAGGTGGAGGTAGCCTTTCGATTTAGGTCACTGCTGGGTTCTGACCATCATCCCTCTGAAATAGCAGGTAAGCAGTCCCATGGGTTTCAAATAGCGTTGCAATATTCTGAATGTGCTCATAATATTTGTATCAGTCTTCCTTGGAGTTCCATAGCGTAGTGGTTAGAGCCCTCGTCTCACAAGCCAGAGGACCTGGGTTTGATTCCCGGGCAGGGTGAAACCTTAGGCAAGTTTCCTTACCCCACACACCTCTGTTTACTCAGCAGTAAGTAGGAACCCGCTTGTTAGTCGATTGGCCGATCGTTTTTCTGGGGGTAATAATCCCTTCAAAAAAAATAATAATTTGGTCCCTCAATCCACGGCTGTTTGTGTGCAATTGGCTGCCGCGTTTCGCCCACAATATGTTCTTTGAAGCGCTTTGAGATATTGTCTCAACGACGTGATAAGGCGCTTTATCAAATGCAAGAATTATTATTATTATCGTTTTGTACATTTTTCACAGAAAGCCACAGGTTCTGTGATCGTGTCCAGGATGCATATACTCTACGATGTTGCCCTCAGGTAGCCAATATTTCATTGCGATCTGATGGTTGAAATGTTTCGGATGCATTACAGTAAACCTCACATAAGTCATATCAGTTGGAACCAGACATTTATTATGTCTTATGCAAAGTAGGAGTCATTTCAAACTTGTATAGAATATAAACTGTTGAACGTGACTTGGGCAGATGTACGACTTAGTGATTATACGATTGATACAGATCAGAATTGTGCCAGTTTTACTCTGTGACTATTTGCACGATGTAACTTGTAACTGCCCTTCAAATTAAGAAAGCATGTGAAAGCTGTATAGCTCTGTTTAAATTGCCTACAAATACAGTCACTCCCCTCAAAGGAAAATCCTGTAAATTGCATTGAGATGTCTCGATGACATGAAATATTACTATATGAAATGCAAGGATTATTATTATATTATTATTATAACTTGAGTACTTTTGTTTCAGGTACATGGGGTGGTGAATGACACTATTGCTTTTGTGAAAAACATCATTCAGACTGAAATTAACAGTGCTACAGATAACCCTGTATCCTTTGTGAATTTAAACAACCGATAATATGCAACGGCATAATATGTTCTAAGTTATAAATAATAATAATGTGATAATTATTAATATTATCAATGATAAATTGTAATTAATTAGAATAATGAGGTGATAAGTTGTAAATAATAATATAAGTTAGTAAGTTATAAGTGATAAAGCTCTATATCTAATGCAAGGCTTGTTATTATTATTGCTAATATATATACCCACAAATATATACAGTCAATTCACTTTACAGTATTTTCTGTGAAGTGCTTTGGGACGCCTCGAAGATGTGATACGGCGCTGTATCAAATACAAGGATTATTATTATTACTGTAATACAGCCTCCATTCTCACTCTATCGTATTTCATCATTAGCAATTAAAGATGAATTGGAAAAACATACCATAGCAGTAAATTATGGTTTGCCCCCTAGCCCTTGATACCCTGACCTAACAAACATCTCTCCACCTCAGTCTTGATAATGTGAATGGATCCACAGCCATGATCCACAGTCTTTTGGCGGAAAGAGAGAGTTCCAGATTTCCACTGGCCTTTGGATAAAAAACTGCCCCTGATTTCACTCCTAAATGGCATCGCTGTATTGTTACGATGATGCCCCCATTGCATTGACTTTGTCAATCTACTACTGAAATTCTACTTAAAATAAGTCGGATTTCAGCAGTACATAGACAGAGTCTTCCCAGCAGTTACTTTTAAACCTTAATTTATTTACTAAAGATGGTGTTTGCAGAAAGAGGAGAGACCATTTCTGGGGGAAACTTTCACGGAGAATATCCCGCAAAAGTAAGTGGCCATTTTAATGATTGTTTTTGTAACCTGTTCATTGACCTGAGTCTCACATATAATATCCACAGTGTTGTGTTGTCTGGAAGCTGAGTGTTTAGAGCACTTGCCTCACAAGTGACTGTTTGTGGGACGCTGCTGTGTGCAATTGGCTGCCAAGTTTCGCCCCACAAAATATACAGTCAATTCACTTCGCAGTATATTCTGTGAAGCACTTTGAGACGTCTCATAGATGTGATATGGCATTGTATCAAATGCAAAGATTATTATTATGATGATGTTGATTCTGTTTGTGTTAGGCCCTCGACTACCTGGCTATTGGTGTTCATGAACTGGCCGCGATCAGTGAGAGGAGAATCGAGAGGCTGTGTAACCCTTCTCTCAGTGAATTGCCAGCCTTCCTGGTCAATGAAGGAGGGTTGAACTCTGGTTTTATGATTGCTCATTGTTCAGCAGCTGCTTTAGGTAAGTTAGCATTCCCTTCAAAAATAATAATAATTTAGTCACTCAATCCACAACTGTGTGTGGGACGCTGCTGTGCGCAATTGGCTGCTCACAAAACACACAGTCACTACACATTATAGTGTATTCTGTGAAGTGCTTTGAGACGTCTTGAAGACGTGATAAGGTGCTATATCAAATGCCAGGATTATTATTATTATTACTTCTCCCTTGTTTGGCATCAAATCCCACCACAGTTCAGTGCTCAGATACGCTACGAAAGGTGCTCTATATTTATATACAGTAAATGTAAAATACAGAAAATACAGTAAAAGTTGTTGTTTGTTACATTTGACCTTTTCAGAAAGCCTAAGGCACTGAGCACAGCCTTATTTTTATTTCCTGCAGTGTCTGAGAACAAGGTTCTGTGCCACCCGTCATCAGTTGACTCCCTGTCCACCAGTGCAGCCACTGAGGATCATGTCTCTATGGGGGGCTGGGCTGCCAGGAAAGCCTTGAGGGTCATAGAGCACGTGGAGCAAGGTAACCCTGACTGAAACCACAGAGACTGAGGATCACTTTAATGCTGCATCGTGAACGCCTGTGGTTTGTGATTAGAGCACTCACTGAGTGAGCGAGAGGACCTGGGTTCAATTCCCAGACAGGGCGAAACCTTAAGCAAGTTTCCTTACTCCACACACACGCCTCTGTTTACCAGCAGTAAGTAGGAACCCAGTTGTTAGTCGATTGGCAGATCACGTTTTATTTAATTTGTAGTATTTGGTAATAATCCCTTAAAATAATAATAATAATAATAATTTGGTCACTCAGTCACGGCTGTTTGTGGGACGCTGCTGTGCGCAATTGGCTGCCGCGTTCGCCCACAAAAATATACAGTCAATTCACTTTACAGTGTGTTCTGTGAAGCGCTTTGGGATGTCCTCCCGACGTGAAAAGCGCTATATCAAATGCTAAAGATTATTATTATTATCTACAATCTGTAAATGTTGGCTGATTAGCAAGTTATATGCTATTCCTCTCTTGTCGTTTCAGTGCTTAGCATTGAGCTCCTCGCAGCCTGCCAAGGGATAGAATTTCTCCGTCCTCTCAAGACAACAACTCCACTGGAGAAGGTCTATGATCTTGTGCGTACGGTGGTCAGGTTTGTTGAATCACACTATCTATTTTCGGGTAATATTTGAGAAAAGGTTGTGCAAAGTGTTGACAAATGAGGCCAGAGACCAAACACATGGACATACATAGGTCCAGTCAACAATGTTAATGTTTGTTCTACTGTCTCCCTTCTCCTAGACCTTGGATTAAAGATCGTTTCATGGCGCCCGACATTGAAGTTGTCCACAGGATGCTGGTGGAACAGAAGGCAAGTTGATGGGCAAAAGTCCTGAAATTCCAGCTTGTCATAGTCAGTCCTAGAAGAGGAATGCAAAATTTGTGGAGTCCTGTAGGGTATTGGGTAGAGCACTCGCCTTGCAACCGAGAGGACCCGGGATCGATTCCCGGGCAGGTCAGGGTAAAACCTTAGGCAAGTTTCCTTACTCCACACAAAGCCTGTTTACCAGCAGTCAGTAGGAACTCGCATATTAGTCAATTGGCAGATCACTTTTTGGGCATTAATAATCCCTAAAAAAAAGTCAGTCAATCCACGACTGTTTGTGGGACACTGCTGTATGCAATTAGCTGCTGCGTTTCACCCACAAAATACACAGTCAATTCAACAACGACAAATTACATTTGTTTAGCGCCTTTTCCAAATTTGCTTTACAATGTATCAACAAAGTGATAAGACGTCATGTTAAATGCAACCATTATTATTATAAAACCATTTTGTCTTAACATTTAAGATTATGAAAAATTGTGGAAAATACTTGTGAAAAATTGTCTTGATTGGAAGTTTGTTTTACAAACTGCAGAAGTCCAGCTTCCACAATAACACTGAATTTAAGTGCTTTCCATAATTCTGTATTGTGCAGTTTTCAATTTAAGATCAAACAGTCTTACCGGCTAAGACTGGCTGGAATTTGGGGCTAAATTTATTTGACATTAGATAAATGTGTTTGACTGTACAGTTAAACATTGATTTGAGGAACAAATATTTAAAGTGAAAATCAAACGACACACATTCTTAGTGTTTGGAGTATTTGGGTTACTGGGAAAAGACCTTAGTTAAGAAATGTCTTCCTTTCCTAGAAAATTGGGTATGTTATTTTATGAAAATCACGCTCAGAATCTGCTTCAAAAATCATCCCTATCTTGTTGTTTGCAGTTCTGCAATGATCCTGAATAGACAAGCTCATGTTCTGTAGGGTCACAAACCCCATTCTATACTCTTTTATTTGGCTTGTCAGCCTGGCTCAGTGGTAGCTCTCTCACCTCAAAGTCAGGAAGTTGTGGGTTCAAGCCCCAAGTTGGACCTTAAACTCACACAGTCTAAGCTGACACTGCAATGCAATGCTTGGTGGGGGTTGCATTGTCTGAGATACTTGTCCTTCAGTTTGGATATTAATTTGAGGTCCTGTCTGCCTGTTCAGGTGGATGTTAAAGATCCCATGGCACTATTTGAAAAGAGAAGGGAGTTTCTCTCTCGTGGTGTCCTGACCAACAATCCCCCAAATAGAATTGGTTATGGGTTTCATGGCTGTTCATGGGACACTGCTGTGCATCATTGCGCTGAGTGATGCGCACAGTCACTCTACCTTCACTGTAAGTCCTGTGAAACTCTTTGGGATATCCTCCTGAAGTTTCTATTGGGTCAGCCGCATGTTTGGCACATGTAGAAACCCATCACCATACTTCAGAGTGAAAGGCGCAAGGATTATTTTTGTTCCCTATTAAAAATGATTATGATTAACAATGTTTTTTTTGCTTTTGATCTGATTGCTTCTCTTCTCACAGGTCTGGCAAGTGGCACATCCTTACATAGAGAAGTACAGAACAGCCAACGTACCAGAAACGAGATCGGTTTCCCCCACTGCCTTTTCACTGGACTCTCTAGAGCCTTCATGCAAGCGAGCTCGTAAAGAATAAGCTTTGTGCTTGACAGAGTTACATATCTAAGTGTACCATAGCAGAAAGCTATCTCTTATGTAGCGTACCATCATCTTATAACAGTGTACAACTCAATCTGTGAATGTAGAGTTTATAAGTGGGTTTCAGTGATACTTGAATTATTTGATAAATTGTGGAGATTTCATCTTGGATATATGCCATTTTACTGGGTGTCTGGAAATTTATTGCAATGGACCTTAGTTTGTAAATGGGACACTTTGGTGTGTGAGAGAGAGAGAAAGAGAGCGAAAGATCACAAGACTGGTTTGGATGAAAAAGGTAATCAGAAGATGTTTAGGCCAGAATATACAATGAGTTTGGATTACAATGTAGTGAGGGTGTAGGAATGACACATGCCAACAGTATAGGTAAAGGGAGACAACATAAAATATAAGAACTTGCTAGATGAAAGACCAAGGTCCATCCAGTTCACCTTCCACCATCCTGGCAGTCGCTTGGCATGTCATGTCCCAAACTCTCTATTGTATCCCCAGATATTATTTCCTAATAGAAATCTATCTCATTTGTTCATGAAAGAATCAACGCTTTCTGCTTCCACCGTCTCCCTAGAGAGATTGTTCCATGTGTTTAATACTCGCTCACTGAGGTGATATGAGATCTGGGAAAGCAAAGTAATGAGGTCAAGATGGAATCCTATTTAAATAGACAGCTATTTCTTGTGATTGCAGCATTACACCTTGCACTCTCCCTTGCCTCCTTCAAGACCCTTCTTAGGACCTTCCTCTTCAACTGCGCCTTCAGCCACCCTCCTCTCCCCGCCCTCCACGCCCCCAGCTTGGGTTCAAATCCCTGACTGTCCAGCACCTTGGGACGTCCTCCTGATGTAAAGGGCACCGTTTAAATGTCATTTGTTGTTGTTATATTGCTGAAATTATCAATTAATGTGTGATATAAGAAATGAAATGCTTTGGTGTTAAACAAAAATAATAAGGATGGGGGAAGGTAAGCATGATACGTGGAGTGTTATTTGGTCATTGACTGTTAAAGCCATGAGGCTACAGTGAAATTGATTGTGAATAAACTAGAGGTTGTTTATTGATTCAGAGTGAAGGGCCCTTATTTGTAAGCGAGGGGGACGGTGATATTTATAAGTCAACTATGAATTACAAAAACCTATAAAGTAACTTCAAGTTTAGACATTGAATTGAGTTCGTTTTCATTCTGTTTTGCCACATAACTACACAGAGAGATATGAAAAGATTGAAATTTGAATTCTTTGACTTTATAATAATAATCCTGGTATTTGATACAGCGCCTCATCACATCTTCGAGACGTCTCAAAGCGCTTCACAGAATATACTGCAAAGTGAATTGACTGTATATTTGTGGGCGAAATGCGGCAGCCAATTGCACACAGCAATGTCCCACAAACAGTCGTGGATTGAAGTGACCAAATTATTATTGTGTTTTTCTGTGCTGCCTAAATAGCATCAAACCATCCTGACGTAGAAACCAAAACATAGTCAGTGTTTTAAACTGAATGTTTGTATTAACAAATGGGATTGAACAAGGTCAACATTGCCCAAACTTGTTTTGTGTGTTGGGGAGGACAAGTTTGGAGGGCTATGGGGAGAGAGTGGGGGAGTGGGGTTGATCAGGGCTATGGGGAGAGAACAGGGGAGTGAGGTTGATCAGGGCTATGGGGAGAGAGCGGGAGAGTGGGGTTGATCAGGGTTATGGGGAGAGAGTGGGGGAGTGGGGTTGATCAGGGCTATGGGGAGAGTGGGGGAGTGGGGTTGATCAGGGCTATGGGGAGAGAGCGGGGGAGTGGGGTTGATCGGGGCTATGGGGAGAGAGCGGGGGAGTGGGGTTGATCAGGGCTATGGGGAGAGTGGGGGAGTGGGGTTGATCAGGGCTATGGGGAGAGAGCGGGGGAGTGGGGTTGATCGGGGCTATGGGGAGAGTGCGGGGGAGTGGGGTTGATCAGGGCTATGGGGAGAGAGCGGGGGAGTGGGGTTGATCAGGGCTATGGGGAGAGAGTGGGGGAGTGGGGTTGATCAGGGCTATGGGAGAGAGTGGGGGAGTGGGGTTGATCAGGGCTATGGGGAGAGTGCGGGGGAGTGGGGTTGATCAGGGCTATGGGGAGAGATCGGGGGAGTGTGGTTGATCAGGGCTATGGGGGGAGCGCGGGGGAGTGGGGTTGATCAGGGCTATGGGAGAGAGCGGGGGAGTGGGGTTGATCAGGGCTATGGGGAGAGAGTGGGGGAGTGGGGTTGATCAGGGCTATGGGGAGAGAGTGGGGAGTGGGGTTGATCAGGCTATGGGGAGAGTGGGGGAGTGGGGTTGATCAGGGCTATGGGAGAGTGGGGGAGTGGGATTGATCAGGGCTATGGGGAGAGAGTGGGGAGTGGGGTTGATCAGGGCTATGGGGAGAGATCGGGGAGTGTGGTTGATCAGGGCTATGGGGGGAGCGCGGGGGGAGTGGGGTTGATTGGAAGCTCAAAGAGCGGCACAGACACGATGGGCCGAATGGCCTCCTTCTATGCTGTACAATTCTATGATTCTAAGATCTAACCGGTGGATCTTCCTGCCACGACCACTGAATAAAAATAATAATTGTGACTTTAAAAGCATTGTGTTCTTCTGGCCCTTACTATGAACTCTTCCTAACAATCCCTTTTTACTCATCACCAATGTTAGAATTTGTGGCTTTCAGTAACTTATTAACTCTTAAGTTAAACAGTTGGTCAATGGTCTCGATGTTTTAAACTGAATGTTTGTGTTCCATCAAATGGGATTGAACAAGGTCAAAATTGCCCAAACTTGTTTTGTGTCTGGAATGTACGGCTCTCATTCTCAGGACATTTGCAGCGACTGTGTTTTGGTGTCCAACAGGATGGTTTGGTACTGTTTAGGCAGCGCAGAAAGTCAAAGAATTCAAATTCAAATGCTCCTGCCAATCCACTGACTGACATGTGAGCATAAAAAGGAACCATAAAATTCACATAAGTCTGATCTGTATAAATCGCATAATCGCTAAGTCGTACGTTTGCCCAAGTCCAGGTCAAGAGTTTATATTCTATATAAGTTTGACATAACTCCAACTTTGCATAAGTCATAGTAAATATCTGGTGCCATCTGATAGGGCTGAGGTTTAATATATTATCCTTTCAGTGTAAAGTTGGGTGGAATATAGCCTGAAGTGATAGGTACAATGATAACCTCTGGACTCCACCGATCAAAAGGTTCCTCGGTGTGAAACCCTTTACAATATCTGCCAACATTGCCATTGTCAGACTGTTGGAAATGGTGAGAATTTCTGGAAAAAATGTTGATCTTTAAGTTAAATTAATAATCCAATTTTGAGCAAAATTTTATTTACAGAATCCTCATAAGAATTTAACATCTTAAATCCACAGCTTGGACACCATAAAAGCAGGTTTTCATGAGAGTACAGACTGACAAGAAAGAATGCAATGGCAATTTATTTATATACCTTTGTCCTCATGTTTTAATTGCACAGTCACTACACTTTACAGTATATCCCATGAAGCACTTTGAGGCATTCTTCCAACGAGAAAAGCTGTATCAAACGCAAGGATTATTATTTATTATGACGTTTGATGATTTGGTTATAATTCACCTTGCAGTAGTAAAGACACACAATGATTCTTAAGGTCAATGCTGGAAAACCTTCTCAGTTGCCTATCTGTTACGCAGTATTAATGTGTATAAATACAGGATTTCATACAATCACAACAGATAACTGGTTTGAAAGGAAGACAGGATGTGCATACTGGTACAATGTTATACAATCTTCATGTTCTTCTAAACTCCTGACGATCATGTTGGGCATCATATAAATCTCACTAAGTTGAGTGTTGATTCTTTCAAGGACAAATGAGATAGATTTCTGTTAGGAATTACTATCTCAGGACACATTAAACACGGCATGTCAAGCGACTGCCAGGATGGTGGAAGGCAAACTGGATGGACCTTGGTCTTGTTTTGTCGGCAAAATGTTTGTGTGGTTGAGAATTTGAAAGTCTGAAGTTAATAATACCCAAGGCAATTCTTGTTTTCATAGGCCACCTTCCCTCTGACAATCACACACTGGATGAGCTCCTGATGGGCTCCGAACTGGTATATCAAGTGCTCCCATCTGAAATCAAGGATGGCAATGCTGCTGAATGTGCAGTTTGCTGTCATGTTTATAAGCTTTTTAAACCATTTAAAAAAAAACGTTTCAATGGAATAAGCATTTAACAGGTCTCCCGGCCAATCAATTCCACTTTGAGGCAAATGCACAGTAGTTCCATCAATCAATAATTTACAACAGTTTAATCATCTATTGTTTACGCAGCAGCAGCAACAACAACAACAACAGCAACTTGGATTTACATAGCGCCCCACACCTGGACGGCGTCTCAGAGCTTCACAGCAACGGATCCCGGGACCGAGCCAGGGGGAGAGGGAGGAGCCAGGGAGGGGAGGAGCCATGGGAGGGGAGGAACCAGGGGAGGGGAGGAGCCAGGGGAGGGGGAGGGGCCAGGGAGGGAGAGGGGGAGGGGAGGAGCCAGGGGAGGGGGAGGAGCCAGAGAGGGGAGGGGCCAGGGAGGGGAGGAGCCATGGGAGGGGAGGAGCCAGGGGAGGGGGAGGGGCCAGGGAGGGAGGGGGAGGAAGGTGACCAAAGGTGCGGTCGAGAAGAAAGGTCTTCAGCCGAGACCTGAGAATAGGAAGAGAGGGGACGAGGGGAAGGGAGTGAGGAAGGCAGTTCCAGAGCCTCGGGGCACAGGGGCTGAAGGCACGGCCACCGAGGGGGGGGCGGAGGACTCGGGGACGAGGAGGAGGTCAGACCTGAGGAACGAAGGCAACGGGTAATGTGCTGAGGAGAGAGGAGGTCAGAGAGGTCGGGGAGTGCAGAGGAGTGCAGGGACTTGAATACGAGGTGAGGATCTTGAAATGGATCCTCTCTGGGACAGGAGCCGGTGCAGTCTGACCAGGACTGGGGGGATCGGGGAGCGGGGTTTGGGGGTGGGGGGGAGGGCCAGGACTGGGGGAGCGGGGTTTGGGGTGTGGGGGAGGGCAAGGACTGGGGGGATCGGGGAGTGGGGGTGTGGGGGAGGGCCAGGACTGGGGGGAGCGGGGTTTGGGGTGTGGGGGAGGGCCAGGACTGGGGGGATCGGGGAGCGGGGTTTGGGGGTGGGGGGGAGGGCCAGGACTGGGGGGATCGGGGAGCGGGTTTTGTGGGTGGGGGGGGAGGGCCAGGACTGGGGGGGATCGGGGAGCGGGGTTTGGGGGTGGGGGGGAGAGCGAGGACTGGGGGGATCGGGGTTTGGGGGTGGGGGGGAGGGCCAGGACTGGGGGGATCGGGGAGCGGGGTTGGGGGTGGGGGGGAGAGCGAGGACTGGGGGGATCGGGGTTTGGGGTGGGGGGGAGGGCCAGGACGGGGGGATCGGGGAGCAGGGTTTGGGGGTGGGGGGGAGGGCCAGGACTGGGGGGATCGGGGATCGGGGTTTGGGGGTGGGGGGAGGGCCAGGACTGGGGGGATCGGGGAGCGGAGTTTGGGGGTGGGGGGGAGGGCCAGGACTGGGGTGATCGGGGAGCGGAGTTTGGGGATGGGGGGGAGGGCCAGGACTGGGGGGATCGGGGAGCGGGGTTTGGGGTGGGGGGGAGGGCCAGGACTGGGGGAGCGGGGAGCGGGGTTTGGTGCGGGTGAGAATGCGGGCGGCAGAGTTCTGGATGATGTGGGCTGTATGGATGGTAGTGGAGGGGAGACCGGTGAGGAGGGCATTAGAGTAGTGCAGCCGAGAGGTGACAAAGGCCTGGACCAGAGTTTCATTGGCTTTTGGGGAGAGATATTGGCGGAGACGAGTGATGCATCAGAGGTGGAAGAAGGCGGTGCTGGTGAGGGACCGGGTGTGGGGGAGGAAGGATAATTGGGGGTCGAACCTGACGCCTAAGTTGCGTATGGGTTTGGAGAGTTTTAGGGGGAGGTCGGGTTGGTGGAGGAGGTGAGAACCATGTGATTTTAGACGTTGACTGGAGCTGGTGAGTAGGAACCCGGGTGTTAGTCAATTGGCGGATCACATTCTGGGGGTAATAATCCCTTCAAACAAATATTATAAAAATGTTGTCACTCAATCCACTACTGTCTGTGGGACGCGGCTGTACACAATTGGCTGCTGCGTTCCGCCCACAAAATATACAGTCACTACACTGTACAGTATATTCTGTGAAGCGCTTTCAGGTGCCTCAACAACGTGATAATAATAATAATCACGTGGTAACATCCCAGAGCGCCTGACAGTCTGAGTCCGAGCGAGGGGGAGAGCGAGGGGAAGAGGGAGGGGGGAGGTGACCATAAACACAATCAAAAAGTAAGGCAGCATTTGAAGGTGGGGAGGGAGGGAGGGAGGTGGAGGGAGGGAGTGAGAGAGTTGCAGAGTTTCAGGGCGCAGTGGCTCATTACGTACCTTGGTGAGTTAATGATGATGAGGTCTCCTCGTTTGCCCACCTCCAGAGAGCCGTGGGTTTGAGATCTACCCAGAGAGTAAGCTGCATTGATAGTGGCCGCAGCCAAAGCTTCACTCATGGACATTTTCATGTTGACACACGCCATGTGCATGATCATCGGCTACAGGGGAGAAAATGCTTCAGTCATCATCACCAACAACGACGACACTTACACAGAACCTTTCACATCAGGAGGACGTTCCAAGGTGCTGGACCCGAGCCGGGGGTTGGGATCAGGAGGGGTGGAGGGCAGGGAGGGTGGGGATAGGAGGGTGGCCGAAGGAGCAGTTGAAGAGGAGGGTCTTGGGACATGCCTTGAAGGAGGCGAGGGAGGGAGCGAGGCAAAGTGACTATAGGATGGAGTTCTAGGTGAACAGAGGAAACTTGTGTAAGGTTTCGCCCTGACCCACCCAGGAATCGAACCCTGCTCCAATCAAACCAGTCAAACAGTCTCAATAAATTAATGAATGGACTCACCATGGAGAAACAGTACGCATTGGGATTGAAGTCACTGCCCAGAGCGACTATCACACCAGCTTCAAGCATGTCCCTGGCTCGGGGAGATTTAAGCCTGAACATTAAAACAGATCAGATATTAGGTTAGTCAATCTGAAAACAGGTTAGCATGTACAGGTCAGTACATGTGGAGTCCTGTAGAGTATTGGTTACAGCACTTGCCTCGCAAGCAAGTGAGAGGACCTGGGTTTGATTGCCGTGCAGGACGATACCTTAGGCAAGTTTCCTTACTCCACACGCCTCTGTTTACCAGCGGTAAGTAGGAACCCGGTTATTAGTTGCTTGGTGGATTGCTTTCCCCTCTGGTTCTTTTGTCCTGTTGCTAAAATAAACCTTATATTTGTTTCAGTCGGTTGTGAGCAATTAATCAATAATGAAAAGCCCCCAAAATACTCAACGTCAGCAAAATACGCTGGCTAGTATATCCTCACCTCTAACCCACATCTGTCCGTCTGCAAAAACAAAATGGACAAATTCCTAGTAACTGATTATCTCATACAAACAGCAGTTTCAGTCTAACACACACAGCCACTCAAGTCAGAATCGTCAATGAGTTGAAGACGTCTTTAAACTCCAGAAATAATGATTACATCATGTCACATCCTCTCCTAGTCCAGCTCTAAATGTTAGGAAGTGAATGAATGCTGTAGTTTAGTGGTTAGAGCACTCGCTTCGCAAGCGAGAGGGTTCAATTCCCAGTCGGGGCGAAACCTTAGGCAAGTTTCCTTACTCCACACGCCTCTGTTCACCAGAAGTAAGTAGGAACCCGGCTGTTGGTCGATTGGCAGATCGCTTTCGGGGGTAACAAACCCTTCAAAAAAAATTGGGTCCCTCAAACCACGGCCGATTGTGGAAATGTTGTGTATAATTCATCAACATATTTCAAGTTAAGATATTTTATTACCTCAAAATATAGGCAGTTGTTGGCAGGAGGACAGCGGATGACTTTGCAATGGCCATGTCATTAATGCCATCATCACTCACTTCCTCCAGGTGACTGATCGCCAGAGCTTTCAGTTTAGCACCGAGCTGTTTGGGGAATAAAGTGCATTTATAGCAGGACCTTCCATACTGACCTATGGTTTTGTTTGCTGATTTAACAGGAAAATGTTCAGTTATCTATCAGGAAAAGGAGTTATCCCACAGTCCCTTCACCTCGCTCCCTCTCTCGCCTCCTTCAAGACCCTCCTCTTCAACCGTGCCTTCGGTCACCCTCCTACACTCCACCCTCCCCACCTCCTGATCCCAACCCCCAGCTCAGGTCCAAATCCCTGGCTGTCCAGCACCTTGGGACGTCCTCCTGACATGAAAGGTGCCGTGTAAACGTCATGTGTTGTTGGTGGTGTTGCTTAACGTGACCCATGTTACCTCTCCTGCTTTCATTGGATGGAGCTCGTCACCATGAAAGTTAATGTGAAGTCCCATCTCTTTGCCGGCCTGGAGAATGGTGCTGGTAGATTCCAGGTCAAACACTCCCTTCTCACAGAAAACATCGATGTTGTCGATGTGAACTTCCCCTTTCAGCATCAACTGCTTCAGCTTGGGAAGCTGGGTGTTGGTTATGTCATGCACTGTTTCTTCTACAGTTTTCCCTCTGAGAAAGAAATCACAGTTTGACTGGTTCACTCACAAAACACACAGTCACTACACTTTACAGTGTATTCTGTGAAGCGCTTTAGAGACGTCTCGATGACGTAATAAGCCGCTATATCGAATGCAAGGATTATTATGATTATAAACAAAAAGTGTGTTTACTTGGGGATGGAATGACCGCCACAGTATGTGGAAGAGATATCGATATCGAGTTCCCTTCGAGCACGGTCAATCACTCTCAGCATTTTGGTTTCCGTCTCCAGGTTTAAGCCGTAGCCACTTTTACACTCGACCAGAGTGCTTCCTGCCCTGATCATGCGCTGCAGACGTTTCTTCAAACACTCAAACAGTTCCTCCTCGGACGCCTTTCTGGTATGTTCCACAGTGAAATGTATCCCTCCCCCAGCATTGTGGATCTCCATGTAGGAAGCACCCGCCAGCTTGTACAATTACAAAGGTTTAGAGCTCAGTTATAGCAGTTCACATACATGTGGCTCCTTCAAGGTCCATCTCAAGACCCTCCTCTTCGACAGTGATAAGGCGCTATATAATAATAATTACGCTATTATCAAATGCAAGGATTATTATTATTCTAAAGGTTTTTTTCAATTGTTTTGTCATTATCCATTAAGCTATTGTAGGGTTATGTATGTATTATTACCTTCATTGCAAATTCATGAACCCTATCACCAACCCAAACGGGATGAGTGTGTGCATCTACAAGACCTAGAAAAAAACAAACCGATAAAACAACTCGATCAGCGTAAGTAAGAAGGGACTTATCTTGACTTCAAAGTAAAACAAAAATAGTATCAAAAGCCTCAATCAGACCATTTCTGTAAGTAAGCAAAAGTCAACAAAATAAAATCGGTCATTCACTTCATGGCTGTTTGAGTGGAAATTGGCTGCTGTGTTTCGCCCACAAAACACAGTCACACCACTGTTCAGTAAATGCTTTGAAGCACTTTGGGACATCCTCCTGACGTGACAGGCGCTTTATTAAAGGACTGTGGAATGGAGTTCCAGGGGATATGGGCAGAGAGGCTGAAGGCTTGACCGTCACTGGTGGATTGGGGGACATGGAGCAGGCCGGAGCCCGCTGAGCAGGGGGAGCGGACAGGTTGATATGGAGATAGCGGGTCAGGGAGGAGTAACTTGAGTGAAACGCACCTGGAAGCACACACATGCCAGAAGCATCAATTACTCGATCAAACACTGTGTCCTGATATTGAGACTGGATGGCATCTACAGTACCTACAGCCTCAATCAGACCATTTCTGTAGGAAAAAGTTAAACACAGTCACACATTGTAACTAGAAGACATTGTGGAGTCTTGCAGCTTCACAAGCGAGAGGACCCAGGTTCGATTCCCGGGCACTTTAAACAAGTTTCCTTACCCCACATGCCTCTGTTTACCAGCAGTCAGTAGAAACCCAGTTGTTAGTCAATCGGCAGATCGCATTCCATCAAAAATCCCTCATAAAAATGTGGTCACTCAATCTACATTTTGTTTGTTTATATATAGTTTGTAGGGCACTGCTGTGCGCAATTGGCTGTTGTGTTTTGCCCACAAAATACACAGTCAATTCACTTTACAGTATATTCTGCGCAGAGTTATATCAAATGCAAGGATTATTATTATTATAATGTGTTTATATGTCACACCGTGTGGAGAGATTACTGATAGTTTGTTTACAGAGGAAGATTTCAGAAAACAAGCAAACCAAAGTGAATACCAACAAAATAATAATAATATGATAATAATCCTTGCATCTGACATTGTCGAGAAAACTCAAATCACTTCACAGAATATAATTTAAAGTGGACTGACTGTGTTTTTGTGGGCGAAAAGCATTTTATAAAATTATATCAATTAGAAATTAAATAAAAATACATTTAGAAGTAATAATAATAATAATCCTTGCATTTGATACAGCGCCTTATCGCGTCTTTGAGACGTCTCAAAGCGCTTCACAGAATATAGTGTGAAGTGAGTTGACTGTATACTGTGGGCGAAATCGGCAGCAAATTGCGCACAGCAGCGCCCCCACAAATGTCTCTCCCTTTCATCTGTCCTGTACAATTGAGAAATACAGAGGTAATTGATGATGGCTGCAGCAAATGGAGACAGACTCACAAAGTGAAACGATTTAGACAGTCTGACTTTGTTACATTAAAAAGCAATTTAAAATATACTTTTTTGGCAGTTATATTCCTTCCGGTTATATTTTCAAAGGCACTGTTTTTTTTTAAAAGTGTAACAAAGGCTCATTTTTACTTTAGTCGTTACTGGACCCTCAAACTATTGCAGTTAGATTGTGAATGTTCCCAAATTTAAAGAGCACTTCAGTATTTGAATGATACAACTGATCAGTGATTAATCAGCGCTACAAATAAACAATACATTATTTTCGCAAAACAAATGCATCACTAAGATTACGGAATGAGTTCTGCATTTTTAATGTTAAACTTCTTGACCGTAATGTGTAGCTTTTAAACAAAAACTCTTTACCAAACTGTAACTGAGTAACGGCAATTGCTCGGAAAACATTCCCACACAGACATGAGGCACCACAGTAATAATTGGAAAACATTTTACCCCAGAGATCGAACACACACAGTACTTACCTTCCAATCACTAAACTGGCATCGTGAAGGACTGCGAGATCCTGCATCGCTTTTCTTGTTAAGTATTTCTCGCCATTGTTACACACAAGGACAACTTGCTGAGCATTTTGAACCAGAATTCCGGATTGCCTCGACATTGCAACTGAGATGGAGACTCTGGACTGTTCTCTCGCTCAGCACAGTGAGCAGCTGAGCATTTGGGGGACAATTTTTTTTTATCTCTGTCCTTGAGCAAACAACCTGCAACACAGTCGCTGGGTTTCTACATCCGCAACTCACAATAAGCCGTTTGCTTCCACTTATCATTTGATTGAATAACACTGCACTGTTAATGAACTGGGGATTTCTACACAGTAACTCATTAACATATTCATTAACCTACTTGAACCCTTTGAAACTTCCATGGATTTGCTACGACATTGGTTATATTTTGTTTATGGAGTCCTGTAGCTCAGTGGTTAGAGCACTCGTCTCACAAGTGAGAGACATGGGTTTGATTCCCGGGCAGAGCGGAACCTCAGACAGGTTTCCTTACTCCGCACGCCTCTGTTTATCCAGCAGTACGTAGGAACCCGGTTGTTAGTTGATTGCATCTTTTCTATAGAAAAATGATTTGCCTGGAAGCAAAAGGATGGCCCCCCCGTCCCCTCCCCTCCCAATCCAATAGCATTGCTTTTATCTGCCCTTCAGATGAGACATTTCCTTACATCGCAGGCCTCTGTTTACCAACAACAACAACAAGATTGCATCTATAGAGCACCTTTCACGTCGGGAGGACGTCCCTGTTTACCAGCAGTAAATAGGAACCCACTTGTTAGTCGATTGGCAAATTGCTTTCTGGGCTTAGTAATCGCTTGAAAAACAAATTTGGTCATTGAACCCACACTGCTGTGCACAATGTGCTGCCTCGTTTTGCCCACAACATACAGTCAATTCATATTACAGTATATTCTGTGAAGTGCTTTGAGACGTCTCAATGATGTGATAAGGCGCATATATGTATTTATTAATTACAAAACTGAGACTCTAATTAAACACTGCATTGTTCATAACCACAAAGCAAAACTAATTTGTGGTCCTATTTGCTACAGAAAGACCATGTTTTAGAAATTGCAGAAAACCAGCATCCAAATTAAGACCAAAATGTCATAACTTTGCACTCTTCTGGGCATTTGTTGTGTTTTATTGTTCTCAAATTTTAAGAAAAAAATAATAATAATAATCCTCGCATTTGATATAATAATAATAATAATAATTATTGCATTTGATACAACGCTTTTCACGTCGGGAGGACGTCCCAAAGCGCTTCACAGAACACACAGTAAAGTGAATTGACTGTATATTTGTGGGCGAACGCGGCAGCCAATTGCGCACAGCAATGTCCCACAAACAGTCGTAGATTGAAAATGACCAATTTGTTATTGTTTTTGGTTTTGGAGGGATTATTATTAGGCTCTGTGTGGAGTAAGGAAACTTGCCCAAGGTTTCGCCCTCTGCCTGGAATTGAACTCAGGTCTCTCACTTGCAAAGCGAGTGCTCTAACCACTGAGCTACAGGACTCCACAGTGCATTATAGCGCATTATCACAGTCATTGAGACGTCTCAAAGCTCTTCACAGGACACACTGTAAAGCGAATGGACTTTATATGGTCTAAGACCAAGTGTGACACACACCTGCCTCCCCTCACCTGTGTGTGACACACCTGGTGGCCCCTCCCCCTCCTCTCCGGGTTGTTTTGATTCTAAATGTAACTGTGTGGGTCGGGCTCTGTGATTGAAACCAATCAGATCGGCTGTTCCTCACCTGTCCAACCGTTTGTCTTCTAACGTTGGGTCGGATTGTCTGGATTATTGAGGCTGGAGAGGTGCCAGGTGTGTGTGTGTGAGTGTGTGTCCCACTGTAACCAGCTGTTACCTGGGTTAGTTCTCTGTCCTTCCTCCCCACACTGTGTCCCGTAGCTCAGCGGTTAGAGCACTCGCCTCGCGAGCGAGCGAGAGGACCCGGGTTCGATTCCCGGGCAGAGCAACACCTTGGACAAGTTTCCTCTGTTTACAGCGGTGAGTAGGAACCTGGTTGTTAGTCGCTTGAGGATCACTTTCCAGGAATCATAATCCCTTCAAAATAATAATAATGTGGTCCCTCAATCCTGTTTGTGGGACGCTGCTGTGCACAATTGGCTGCTGCGTTTCGCCCACAAAAACACAGTCACTACACTTTTCAGTATATTCTGTGAAGCGCTTTGAGGTGTCTTTACAATTCGTTTGAGACATCTGGTCAGATGCACCATCCTGTATGTATTAAGTGGAATAATATTTATGCACTTATTTAACCAGAAATCAGATAAAGTCATGGCAACTGGTGTGGCTGTAAACTCACCATCTCGAACACCTGTGAAAAACAGCAGATTTCCAAGTAAGTGTTTCTTATTAATGACTATTACTCTTTAATCGGATAAAATGGGGAGACGGGGGTGGCGGGGGGTGTGGAGTGGCGGGGAGAAGGTTTAAAATGGAAGGTTTAACACACACCTAATTATTTTTAAAAGGTCTAAACCAGTTGCGACAAACGGGAACTACACTGACAAGACAGAAGATTAAGAGCAAATCTGACACTGCAGGTAAGTTACTTAACTCCCTTACAGGGTATTGTATCTGTAGTGTGTACATGTTTATAGTAATAATAATCCTTGTATTTGATACAGCCTTATCATGTCTCAAAGCGCTTCACAGAATATACTGTAAAGTGAATTGACTGTATACTTTGTGGGTGAAATGCAGCAGCCAATTGCGCACAGAAGTGTCCCACAAACAGTCGTGGACTGAGTGTTCAAATTATTTTTTTTTGGAGGGATCATTATCCACCAATTGACTAACAACCAGGTCCCTACTTACTGCCAGTAAACAGAGGCGTGTGGAGTTAGGAAACATTATTATTACACTTTTGCTGTCACTGGATAAATCTTATTGAAAATAGTAACAATCATCGTTATTTATTCTTATTTTATTAGTAGTAAAATTGTATTATTGGTGATAAATGTATTTATTTTTCCATTTATAATTTTTGTCCACAAAATACAGTCACTACGCTTTACAGTATATTCTGTGAAGAGCTTTGAGACGTCTTAAAGACATGATAAGGCACCATATCAAATGCAAGGATTAGTATTATATATTATTTATTGTTGTTATAATAATTATTAATAATAAAAGGATTGCTATTATTATTATTATACTGTAGCCCCTTCCTTTGTATTCTTTATAATTCTGATAATCTATTGACTGAGAAGTTTCCCCCTTCCTCCCCCCTCTACACACAGAACAAAGTGATGTAAAGGTGTGTGTCAATCCCTTTTCCTGGCACTCGGACATAGATGTGCGCAAATTCCAGCAACAAATGAAGGAAAAGGTAAATTCTTGGTCATCTTCAGTTACTAGTAGATAGCAAGGCCACGTCGGGAGTTTCAGTGAAGGTTAATTACCCTTTGGGCCGTAACTGTCATATGACACCTACACATACAGTCACTACACTTAAGAGGAATCGCTGTAAAAGAGCTTTGAAACCAGTTCACAAAAGGCCAGTGGGAATCTTTAACTCTCTCTCTCCCCCCAAAAGGCTGTGGATTTTGGATCCATACACATTGTCCAGACTGAGGGAGAGATGTTTGTTAGTTCAGGTGATCAAGGGATACGGGGCAAAGGTGGGTAACTGGAGTTGAGATACAGATGAGCCATGATCTTAAAGAATGGCGGAACAGGCTCGAGGGGCTGAATGGCCTCCTCCTGTTCCATCCCCACAATACTGCCAACCTCCACTTCAATACCAACAAATCCTGGCCCTTGTCACCTCCAGACTCGAGTTCTTCAATACCCTCCTCACTGGCATTCTCAGCTCTAGTCTCCAGTAGATCCAAATGGTCACAACCTTTTTATAATTATTATAACGCATTTCACTCGCAAAATACACAGATAATCCACGTTACAATATGTTCTGTGAAGCGGGTAATTGGCAGGTAATTTGCTTTTCCCCCACTCCCCCACCCGCTGCCTCCGCTCAGCTGGCTCGTCCCTGGTACCCTCCGTTCCACCATCGGTGGCCGCGCTTTCAGCTACTCCGCCCCGAAACTCCGGACCTCCCTCCCTCCCTCCCTGCGCCTTGCCCCCTCCTTCCCCATCTTCAGGTCGCGCCTGAAGACCTTCCTCTTTGACCGTGGCTATGGTCACCTCTTCCTCCCCCCCTCGACTTGGTGTCGTGCTCCGCCACTGTCCAGCGCTCTGTGTGACGGGCGCTGTGTAAGTGTGAGGTGTTGGACTGTTTTCACTTTTAGGAGAAGATAAACATGAGAAATCTGCCGGTTCACTCGAAAACCACAAAGATATCAAGAAGAAGAGGCCAGACTGGTGAGATCCGCAGACGTGTTCTCCCGTCTGTCAAAGAGAAGGAAAGCCCCACCCAGAGGCAAGCTTGTTTGTCAATGCATTTGGCTCCGGGTAAGAGATTACAACAACAACAACAACAGCAGTAACAACAACAACAACAACAACACATGGCACCTTTCACGTTGGGAGGATGTCCCAAAGCGCTGGACGTCAGGGATTTGGTCAGGGATTTGGTCAGGGATTTGGATCTGAGCTGGGGGTTGTGATCAGGTGTAGGGCAGGGAGGGTGGGGAGGGTGGGGAGGGTGGGGTAGGAGGGTGCCTGAAGGCATGGTCGAAAAGGAGGGTCTTGAAGGAGGCCCCATTACTACTAATACTATTGCTATCATGACAACAACAACTTGTATTTACACAGCGCCCATCACACAGGGCAGAATCCCAGAGATTATCATCATTATTACTATTTAGTACTAAAAAGCTTATGATTATTCCCAAAAAAATTATATGTAAAAATGATTTTTTAAAACACTAATATATTCAGCACAGGGTGGAAAACGATATGAAAATACATCCAAAATAATCTTTAATTTTCAACAGGTTTGCCCAGAGACACAGAGCGAATCAAAGACTACATTTCTAGAAATCGACAACTATTCTTGCTGGAGGTACAAATATGTTCCCACTGAAAAAATTATAGTTTGATGGATTGTGGAGTCCTGTAGTTTAGGATTCCGTTTGTTGGTGGATCGCTTTCCAGCGGTAATAATCCCTTCAAAAAAATGTTTTTTCTATAATAGGGTTGAAATTTCATGACTGTATATTAGTATAATCACTATACATTGGCCTCAATTTCTTAATTAATCCAAACTGCTGTTGTTTCTGTATGTAGTACACAACAACCCTTAATAAAAGCCTCATCGAAAATATGATAAAAACATCAGCTTCTGAAGAAAAGAAAATGGTGCAAGATGAGAAATACATCAAGGAGTACAAGGATAAGGTGGAGGCGTTCTTGAGCAAAAATGAGAAGAATAGAGCTGAAGCATTTATCAGGTAGATCGGGTTATAATAATAATAATATTAGCAACAAAACAAAATTACACTTGTATAGAACTTTTCATGTTGGGAGGAAGTCCCAAGGAATAATAATCCGTGCATTTTATATACAGCGCCTTATCATGTCATCGAGACGTCTCAAAACTTTTAGCAGAATATACTGTAAAGTGAATTGATTGTGAATTTGGGGGCGAAATTGCACACAGCAGTGAGTGTCCCACAACAGTCGTGGATTGAGTGACTAAATTATTATCAATTTCCAAAAAAATTGAACCGATTATTACCCCCAGGAAAGCGATCCTCCAATCGACTAACAACCGGGTTCCTACTTACTGCTGAGTAAACAGAGGCATGTGAAGTAAGGAAACTTGCCTAAGGTTTTGTCCACTGTCATAAAGCTGTCATACTTTAAGTCACCCATTCAATTTGTTCAGATCTTTATTTCTGTTTTATATTTTATTTCTTTCAGAGCAGAAGAAGCGACTAAAGCTCGACTTCAGAAAGTTGCCGAAATAAAGAACATTTCTATCGAAATTATGAAAATTAGAAGGTAAGTTAAATATATTAGAAAAATAATCATTTGATACAGCACCTTATCACGTCACTGAGGTTTCACTCCGTCCGGGAATAAATACAGTGATGTGATGTTATTATGGTTGTATTTTTGTGTTGTGATTTGTTCAATAATACTGCATGAATAATAAACAGAGAAATTAATTATTATGTGGAGTCCTGTAGCTCAGTGGTTAGAGCCCTCGCCTCGTAAACAAGACGACCTGGGTTTGATTCCCGGGCAGGACAAAACCTTAGGCAAGTTTCCTTACTCCACACACCTGTTTACCTCGTGGTAAGTAGGAACTTGGTTGTCATGCGATTGGCGGATCGCTTTTCTGGGGTAAATAATCTCTTCAAAAATAAAATAAATAATAATTCATGACTGCTTGTGGGACGCTGCTGTGCTCCATCGGCTGCTGTGTTTTGCCCACAAAACATACAGTTAATTCACTTTACAGTATATTCTGTGAAGCGTTTTGAGACGTCTCGAAGATGTGATAATGCGCTGTATGAGATGCAAAGATTATTATTATGTGGGAACAAGGCAGTAGCCGAGTTCAGTTCACATACAGAGCTCTGTGTTTTTTTTATTGTTCAGCTCCATTGCCAAAGAAGAGGACAAGCTGATGGATACTATCGTTTCTAAGAATATTCTTGAAATGCTAACCCCAAAGGAAATGAAAGAGAAGAAAATGAAAGAAAGGTTACAGAAGTCAATAGGTAAAACGAACAAGGACGGAATAAAAGGTTGGTCGTGCTTCTAATGGTACATTATTGACAAATTAGATAGATTTATTTTTGCAAATAATATCTGGGGAAACAGCATATAGTTTGGGACACGTCATTTCAAGCGACTGCCAGGATCTGGTGAAGGAGAACTGGATGGACTTTGGTCTTCTGTCATGATAACAAATGAAAAAGAAATAACAACTTAAATTTAAAAAATAATGTGGTGACTCAATCCCCGGCTGTTTGTGGGGACACTGCTGTGCGCAATTGGCTGCCGCGTTTCACCCAAATATACGAGCAATTCACTTTACAGTATATTCTGTGAAGTGCTTTGAGACATCTTGAAGATGTGATAAGGCGCTGTGTCAACTGGAAGGTTATTATTATTATTGCTCTGAAGCCGGCGCAGACTCGATGGGATGAATGGCCTCCTTCCGTGTCGTCAATATTGCTGATTCTACGATGGAACAAACCGAAGGAAAGATCTGCGGGAAAGTATAGATTGCAATAATTCACTAATCAGTAACTCTCTTCCCCTTACTGTGCAGTTGACTTGGAGACAATTGATACAATCAAAGGAGGATCTGATCCGACCTCAGAGAGAAAACCCCCCACGATTCATCACAGCCTGAGGTCAGGTTCACACAATTAATTATTAACGTAATTGTGCAATTGGCTGCCGCGTTTCACCCACAAAATACACAGTCACTATACTTTACAGTATATTCAGTGAAGCGCTGTGAAACGTCTCGAAGACGTGATAAGGCGCTGTATCAAATGCCAGGATTATTATTACCTATAAGGTGTCCTGTATGGACTACGCAATCAGTCTTACTCTGTAGCCAGAATGAAGACGACTGTATTTTAACACTAAACTAGTGAAGAGTTGTTGGTTGGATTTGGGATGAGGTAAAATTACTTTATTTTTCTCATCAGCGATGCAGCTTCATTGGAGGAAAGACAACAGGAATTCAAATTGGGAAACAAAGAATCTGAATCTGAAGTGGTGAGATAAAATTGAATTCAATTAAATTGAATTAAAGTACAAATTAGATAGATTTCTAGAAAATAATATCTGGGGATACAGTGTATAGCTTGGGACACGACATGTCAAGCGAGTGTCAGGATGGTGGAAGGCAAACTAAATGGACCTTTTTTCTATATTAATGTGTATCGACTTTGTCTCTTCCTCCTTTCTCTTCCACAAGGAGATAATGATCAATATTTTATCTGAAAGTTTTTGGCATTAACCAGGTGTAGGAACCCAGTTGTTCGTTGATTGGCGGATTGCTTTCCGGGGTAATAATCAAAAAATAAAAAAATTATGGCCCCTCAATCCACGACTGTTTGTGGGACACTGCTGTGCGCAATTGGCTGCCGTATTTTGCCCACAAAATATACAGTGAATTCACTTTACAGTATATCCCGTGAAGCGCTTTGAGACGTCTCAAAAACGTGATAAGGCGCTATATTCATATGTTCTTATGAGAGAGAGACTGAGAGAGACTGAGAGAGAGTGTATGAAAGACGCTAGACCAAATGCAAGTATTATTTATTATTATTATATCAAATGCAAAAATTGTTATTATTATTAACTATGACTAACACCTGTATTTCCTGTTTGGCTGTCAGGTGCCAGAGATCTATTTTGAGAGTCCCCAGGAGGTGCTTGACATATTCTACGAGATGGAAGAGCAGACATTGTTGGTTCTTCAATATTACCAGGAATTGGAGGAAGGACTTGACAAAATAAAAGCCGAAAACACCAAAGCACAGAAAATACTGTAAGTGTGACCTTAGTTATTATAATAATAGTAACTCTTGCATTTGATACAGTGCCTTATTGTGTTTTCAAGACGCCTCAAAGCGCTTCACAGAATATACTGTAAAGTGAATTGAGGGCAAAACGTGGCAGCCAATTGCACACAGCAACGTCCCACAAACAGTCATAGATTGAGGGACCAAATTATTATTAATATTTTTTAATTTTTGGGAAGGGATTATTATCCCCGGAAAAGCAATCCGCCAATCGACTAATAATCGGGTTCCTACTGACTGCTGGTGGACAGAGGTGTGTGGAATAAGGAAACTTGACTAAGGTTTCGTCCTGCCCAGGAATCAAACCCAGGTCCTCTCGCTTGCGAGGCGAGTGCTCTAACCAGGACTCTAAACGTAGGTTACTAAGGAGTGATATTACTCTTCAGGAACCATAAAGCAGAATGTCTGAAGTTAGAAGTCGAGGCACTCGAAGCTCAACTCGACAAAGAGAAACAGAAAACCGAACACTTTATACTAAGAGTGAATATGTTCACAGGTCCGGGTTCAGCAGAAGATGAGGTAAACTTTTTCCCCTGCATTCATTGACTATTGCCGTCATGCTGTTGGAAATGTTAATAATAAAAATCTTTGATATGGCACCTTATCACATCGTTGAGGCGTCTCAAAGCGCTTCACAGGATATACTGTAAAGTGTAGTGACCATCTATTTTATGGGTGAAATGTGGGAGCCAATTGCGCACAGCAGCGTCCCACAAACAGTCGTGGCCTGAGTGACCAAATTATTATTATTTTTTATTATTTTTAAGGTGGTATTATTATTCCCCCCATAAATTAGTCATGTAAAGGAACTAAAAAATTAGCTGATGGAACATAGTTTGCACTATGACAGCTGGGGCTAACCAATGAACTTGTCTCTTGTATATTAGATGGTACTCCTGGATGTTTTGAACAAAGCCATCAATAAGTTGTATCAGCAATGCTGCGATTCCAACGTGAACCTCAGCTCAGTACACAAGCTGGCTGGCATTGAGAGCGAGATCAACAAGCTGATGGATCTGATTGAGACTGGTGTACCGGAAAAGACAGAAATTATTAGGAAGCAGAAGCAGAAGGCGATACGAGAGAGGTAGGATATTTCTGTTCTAATCGCTAAATGTTAATAAATGTTTACCTAAGTCTTCCTAAAGAAGTTCAACTCCAGCAAAAAAACAGATGAGCATTTCAGTCCATTTATGTGCAATAGCCTTGGAGCCTCCCTACCTCACTGATCTGCTCTCTTCCCCACTGCACTACCCGCTGCTTCCGCTCGGCTGGCTCCAGCTTCCTGCTTGTCCCTCGTCCCCTCTGCTCCACCATCGGCGCTGCACTTTCAGTCACTAGCCCCCAAAACTCTGGAACTCTCTCCCATATTCCCTCCGTCTCGCCCCCTCCTTCCCCTTTTAGATCATGACTGCAGACCTTCTTCTTCGACCGTGTTTACGGTCACCTCCTCCCTCCCTCCGGCTCCGTGTCAGGCTCCGCCACTGTCAAGCGCTCTGGGACTCTGCCCTGCGTGAGGGGCGCTGTGTAAATACAAGTTGTTGTTATAAATGTTTTTAAAATGACCGCTCCCTCCCTCTAAAGAAACAAACAAACAGACAAAGTCAATGTCCTGAAAGTGCTACATCACAAAAAATAATAATTTGGTCACTCAATCGCACGGCTGTTTGTGGGTCACTGCTGTGTACAATTGGCTGCCGTGTTTCGCCCACAAATGCAGTCAATTCAGTTTACAGTCTATTCTGTGAAGCTTTGAGACGTCTCGAAGATGTGATGAGGGCTGTATCAAATGCAAGGATTATTATTATTATTGCTGTAAGAGCCGGTGCAGACTTGATGGGATGAATCCTAATAGCACATTAGGGAAGATGCCACACTCCATGTGGTCAGGTTTCCTACTGTTCATATCCTACAACCTGAAAGAGCGGTTACCCATCACAGCAGTGATGGCAGAGAGGTTCAGCACTCATACAGGACAGTAACACCTACAGCTCAGGGACCAACAATAGAGGGCGATGAAGATGCTGCATTTCTTGTTCTGCTGTGAAAATCCACTCAACTGATCCACAAAACACGAAGCAACAATAATAATAATCCTGGCATTTGATATCGTGCCTCATCAAGTCGTCGAGACGTCTCAAAGCGCTTCACAGAATAGACGGTAAAGTGTAGTGACTGTATTTTGTGGGCGAAACGTGGCAGCCAATTGCACACAGCAGCGTCCCACAAACAGCCGTGGATTGAAGTGACCAATTTTTTTTTAAAAGATTATTCTTTTCCTACTTACTGCTGGTAAACAGAGGCGTGTGGAGTAAGGAAACTACTGACTAATCCCACTGCCCCCTCTTACCCCATAACCCCCATTTTTCCCTTTCAAGTACCTATCCAATGCCCAACATTTTGCCCTGCCCTGTATCAAACCCATGTCCTCTCACTTGCGAGTGCTCTAACCGCTGAGCTACAGGACACCATTCCAATATATCCTGTGAAGCGCTTTGAGTCGTCTCAACAACATGATAAGGCACTATATAATAACATATATAATATAATAAAATTGGTCACTTCAATCCACGGCTGTTTGTGGGACACTGCTGTGTGCAATTGGCTGCTGCATTTCGCCCACAAAATACGGTTGATTCACTTTACAGTCTATTCTGTGAAGCGCTTTGCGACGTTTAGAAGACATGAAAAGCTCTATATCAAACGCGAGGATTATTATTATTATATCAAATGTAAAGATTATTACTGTTTACAATTTTAAACTTAGATCCTCTTGATCTTCAGTTTTGACGTCGTAAGGCTGTCTAAAAGATTTACTAATAAACACAACTTACATTTATATAGTGCTCTTCACTCTTAAAAGTTTAGGGACTGAATATCTGGTAGCCACTGGTAACAGGTGTGTGCTCTATCCAATTGTTTCCTTAACCTTAGGCAACGTGGTGAAATTCTATCGCAAATAAAAAAGAATCGAGACAGAAAAATGAAAAGGATGTTCGAGAAGAACACTCGAATAGCAAGGAAGACAGTACGTATCTTGGCAGTCAACAAAGACTTAAACAGTTACCAGGCAGTTTCAGTATTTATTCAGTATATTTTCAGTTTTTATTTTATGGTCCGACTCCTCTGCTATTTCTACAACTTTGCTCAGTCTCAGAGGCTTATTTAACTGGCTCTTGGTTGTCGTAACTCCGAATACTGATAGTAATCATAGAATCATAAGAATCTTACAGCACAGGAGGCCATTCGGCCCATCGTGCCTGTGCTGGCTCTTTGAAAAAGCTACAAACTATTCCCACTCCCCGGCTCTTACCCCATAGCCAACAATCTTCCTTTTCACGTCCCTATCCAGTTCCCTTTTGAAAGCTACTATCAAATCTGCTTCCACCAGCCTTTCAATCAGCGCATTCCAGACCGTAACCTAAACGTATTCTTTTTTCCCCCCCAACAGCTGAGTAGAAAACTCATGTACCGTTCAAAACCTCCTGAAAGCCAAGAAAGAGACGAGATAAACATCACAGAGCTGGCCCTTTCTGAACACAGCTTTGAGGATTTTTTTAATATAACACACACTCAGTAAAACGGGCTGTTTTGTTTTTATATTTTGACCAATGTTTCCTGTATCTGTTGATTCTGTTTTATTTAACATTAGTTATCTTGTAATTGCATTCTGTTTATTGATGCAGAAGTCTCAATTTAAAGGGGGAAAAGTATCAAGACTTGTCAGACAATCAACAGTCACATCACTGTTTGTCACCAACAATTTTAATCAGTTTTAGGAAAATTAAAAATTAGAACAGTGAAAGTTGGGACTATAAAAGATGTCACATCTGCTGCAATTCAAAGGTGGTATCCATTGCAGGATTGATGGCACATTTAATCAGATGTAAAGTTCCCCTTGCTCTGCTCATTATTATTATTAAAGCGCTCTGTAACGTGTGTTATACAGTGTGAAGATCGCTATATAAATACAAGTTGTTGTTATTATTTATTATTATTATTCGTCACAAGAGTCAAATTGTACTTGAGGTTTAAGAACAGGTAGATCCTTACTCATCTAATAAGTGTAAGGATGAAATGTTTTCATCGAGTCAATAGCTTCCTGTTGACATTGTACACCGATAAAAGTTGTCGTCACAGATCTGTTAAACGTGTCTTGTTGTGGTTTCAGTTGTTGTCACAATGTGGTACTTTAAACTTAAATGGATAAGCACTGAAATGGGGTGAGGAAGTTTATACTTTTTACTTTTTTTTGTAATACAGTATCTGATGATTCTTATTATTAAAGTGACAAATATGTATCCTGGGACCTGGAACATTCCCAGTTTGGGCATCTATTGCAGGATTGACAGCTGAACAACTAGTCCCACACCGTCACGAGCAACCAAGTGTGACTCTCAAATTCCAAATATTCTATTCTGAGTTTTCACACAAAATGAACTGGGGGGCGGGGGGGGGGGGGGGGGGGGGAGATTTCTTTGATGCAACTTCCTCCAAATCCACTTATAGTTCCAATTCTCGACATTCATAAGCACCTCGTAGTACCTCCTAACACCTTGGGACATCCTCCCGACGTGAAAGGAGCTATAGAAATGTAATTGTGTATTGTATTGGAGTTGACTGGAAAAGTCACTCGTTTCATGCTTTGTTGATGTCTTCAATCAATCTCAATGGCCATGTGCACACAGTCACCAGACTTTACAGTATATCTTGTGGAGCGTTTTGAGACATCTCAAAGACGCGATAAGCGCTGTATCAGATGTGAGTATAATTATTTCTGAACAAACAACAACTCACATTTACACAGCGCCTGTCACAGAGTGCTGGGCAGCGCGGAGCACGACACCGAGCCGGAGGGAGGGGGAGGCAGTTGAAGAGGAAGGTCTTCAGGCGCGACCCGAAGGTGGGGATGGAGGGGGCGAGGTAGATATAACCTCGAAGCCTGTGATAGAAGTACATACCCCATCTTACCTGTAGTTTATGTAGAGAATCCATTAATTTCTAACACATTTTCTCCTTACCAAATAAAATTAAACCAGTTCATAAACCAGGGCTAGATTTCCCCCAACAAAGTAAACAGATTATTAACTACTTAAAGCATATCTCTGTATATTAAATTGCACGAGTATTTTAAATCACCTTTTATTTGTTAACCTTGGATCTGAATCTTCACACATAAACAACAAACATGTGATTTGTGACCAGCTTTGATGCCAGAAACAGTTATATTAAGAGTCTGTATTGTAGAATCCAGGCAGATCATCCATCTTTAGAGCACCTACAAGTCCGTGAATGAGTCTGTTCAACAGTAACCTAGCAATGTCGCAGCGCTGAAAAAAGTACAAAATAATTACACATTTTTTATATAAAAAAAGCAAAATTATTCTCTCATTTCTCCGTCCTCTTCTTCCTCTTCAACTCCTCTGATGTACAGAACATTGTTACACCTGTGCAAAAAGATTACAAATTAAAGTTAGCTCCACTTAGCTTAATTACACACATAACAGAGTACATACATTAATCGTCACAAATCAAATATAGTGGAATCTGTTTTTGCCGGTCCCAGTTGACACTGGATATCGGGTAAACCAAACAAACCACCCGGTCCCGAATCATCTGTCTGGACCGTGTGAAATAACTACACATCATCTCACAAGTGTTGATTATATAGCTGGTGATATTACATGTGATACGATGCAGCTCAAATATCTCCCTATATTTCTAAATAAAGATAGAAATTCTTACCTTATAAGAACTTCTCCAAGATGTCCTGCTAGAGCACTGTCAATGTATTCCTCTGTATTGGCCAACTTTAATGAAGAAAACAATATTTAGTTTTCGCCCTAAATACTAACATATCAAAGTGCAGAAGTAATGCAAGTACAACCTCTTATATATTTCTCCTTTTTGAACACAAAAGGACAACATCTGTATTCCTCATTACAATGCATTTGTAGCAAAGTAGGAAAGCCTAGTATAAAATTCTCTCCACAATCTTGCCAGGAAACAAAAAATGTGTAAGATCTAATCATTCAGTTTTCAATGTGAAATGCATGGGGAAAAGAATATTATAGAATTCTCCTCTTATATCTTGCACCATCTATACTAGCTTGCAGATTTGGCAGCCACCCAATCCACAAAATCAAAACCTCTAAAGCTGTCCTGGCCTGAGCCATCTCAGTCTGTTACACAAGATCCACAGAAACAGTTCATCTGAAAGCCCTTCAAACTATATTATTGTTTGTTCGTGGCCAGGGAGAGAGTAAATAAAATAAAATTATCATGCAGCCTTCTTGATGAGCAGTTCAGTTGCTCAATCTCAATCCAGTTATGATGTCAGTCCATATTTCTCACTAAAAACACTTAGCAGTGTGGGATAATAATAATACAAATACTTGACAAAGTGCAGAATATTGCAGTCATTCTTCAAGCGATGTTAGTGCTGAGATATGTTTCAATTAAGGGGATAAGAGTTGCAAATCTCACCAGAGTTAATGTATTAGCTAATACGAACTGTCTACTACAGTGCAATTTACACCCTATATATAGCTTCTTCAAGAATTCTTCGATTTCAAGATCCTCATCCCCACCTACAGGGCCATTCCCGGCCTCGCTCCCTCCTACCTCTCCGACCTACTATCCCCCTACATACCCCCCCGTACCCTCCGTCCCTCTGGCTCCGGTTTGCTCCACATCCCCCGCCCCAACCGCCCGACGATCGGTGGCCTTCAGCCTCTCAGCCCCGAGGCTCTGGAACTCCATCCCCAGTGCCTTCGCCGCTTCCTCCCTTTCCTCCTTCAAGGCCGGTCTCAAGGTCTTTCTCTTCAACCGAGCCTTCAGCTCCGCTCTCGACTCTCTACCCCCTCCTCGCTCCCTCCCTTCCCACCCCTCACCCTGACCATTCCCCCCCTCCTCGCTCCCTCCCTTCCCACCCCTCACCCTGACCATTCCCCCCCTCCTCGCTCCCTCCCTTCCTTCCCCTCACCCTGACCATTCCCCCCCCTCCTCCTTCCCTTCCCTCACCCTGACCATTCCCACCCTCCTCGCTCCTTCCCTTCCCTTCCCTCACCCTGACCATTCCCCCCCTCCTCGCTCCCTCCCTTCCTCCCTTGACCATTCCCCCCTCCTCGCTCCCTCCCTTCCCCTCACCCTGACCATTTCCCCCCCAATGCTCGGGTCCTGACCCAACTGTCCAGTGCCTTGGGACGTCCTCCCAACGTGAAAGGCGCTCTATAAATGAAATCCTGTTGTTGTTGTTGTTGTTACCTGCATGTTCATGTAGCCATCAACTGAGACAAGATAGCCCTTGTATTCCATTCCCCACTTCAACTTGACCATGACTGGTTTGCCAGTCAATCCATTGAGAAATGGTTTGGGATTCAAAGGTAAACTCTTTGCACATAGCGGACAAACAGAAAAACAAAAAGACAAAAACAAAAAGAAAGACAAGGTTAGCAGCTTTCACTTTATTTTTCTACAGATTCTACATTAAATTCACAAATTAAAGTCAGTAATAATAGGGGATTGACAGCTATTATTGTTTTGCAATTCAAGCTTTGCGATGGGGGAACTGCCGAACACGGCCTCATACACCAACATCACAATTTTGAAACCGTGCCCCAGTAATCATTATGTGAATAATAATTATGTGAGTAATTAACACACAACGAATTGTGCATTATGCAAATGTCGGGGTCTATGATGCCCCACATGTCAACACATTGGTATCGTACAATAATATTATAATACAATAATTAATTATGTTACAACGTATTCATTGCAGTCTAACCACATGTTGATGTAACGGCATTGTCTAATGATATAATAATATAATGATATATAATAATGATATAATATAATAATGATGAAGTATAACCACGTGTTAGTGTGTTTGTATAACGTAATAACATAGTTATTGTTGGGAATAATTCATTAATGGTGTTTTGGGGGATAACAACTGCGGGAATGTAACCACATGGCGCTCAGTGTCACAGCCTCTCCCCCCGCGGCCTCTCCCCCCCCCCGCGGCCTCTCCCCCCCCCCCCGCGGCCTCTCCCCCCGCAGCCTGAGCCTGAGCCGCGGCCTCTCCCCCCGCGGCCTGGGCCTGAGCCGCGGCCTCTCCCCCCGCGGCCTCTCCCCCCGCGGCCTCTCCCCCCCGCGGCCTCTCCCCCCCCGCGGCCTCTCCCCCCGCGGCCTCTCCCCCCCCCCCGCGGCCTGGGCCTGAGCCGCGGCCTCTCCCCCCCCCCAGGCCCGGCCCGGGCGGCCTGGGCCTCGGGTGCTGTCACAGCCCCGGGGCCGCTCCCCCCACACTCACCATGGCTCGGGCTCCGGCACTGACGGCGCCAAAACCCCGCACAGGCTGCCGGGAAACACAGGCCGACCCCTGACCCCGGCCCGGCCCCGCCCCCAGACCCTGATTGGGCTACGTCACCGAGTCTGAGCCACGCCCACACCGTATACACCCCCAATATACACCATCACTCCCAATATACCCCCAATACACACCATCACTCCCAATATACCCCCAATATACACCATCACCCCCAATATACCCCCAATATACACCATCACTCCCAATATACCCCCAATATACCC